GGTCGTCACAGTGTGTTATGAAAAATGGATTCGAGTTGTTATTACCAGCTGTTATTTTGTTGACATATTGTAAAAGTAAAAATGCCTATTCACTATTAACTAACGCACCACAGTCGCATACAACTCATACGTACATGCAATACACTATTTTGGTAAATCGACCCATCTAGTGACGAAGAGTTTCTGTGATATTAAAGGGCGGTGGTCGTAGCGCCACGCATGCGCGAGATATGGGTCTCGCATGAACAAAGATGGCTTTTATTATGTTTTTTTTTTTTTGTGATTGGAGAGTATCGAACAAGTCGCCGGCGGCAATTAGTGCACGTCGTGCCCAAGTCAAAAACTCGTACTCGTGATTTTATTAAAAGAGCGCACTTGATTGTGGGGAAATCGACGATTACTACAGATCTAAACGAGACGACTTTTCTGGAAGTAGAAGATACGGCGTTTCGCATGCGCGCGCATGTCGTTTTGGGGTGTAACATAAAATTGCATGCGTGAAATTGTGCTTCAGGGTATACCAATCGACGTCACAAAAATAAAATTCCTCTTTGTCGGCTATCAGCAAACTGACATGTTCTTTTTTGCAGCCATGACAAAGCAGGAGTATTTTTGCACCCCAGTCTCGCTACTTCCGGGAAAGTCGTCCATCGACGATTAGAACGGCCTTTGCGTCACCCATTTGTGTCATAGAGCGCTTCGTCACTTGAGGGCGCTATTTATAGGACAGGGGTATTCAAACGCACACTACATGACGACATTTAAATGACGGATAAAATGGTAATATTTGACAAGTTACGTATCTGTTCATATCAGATATATTTTGTTTGTTTACCGCTAAAACAGCAGTATTGACAATATGTCGCCCTGCTAGTAGCGTATTTGCTCGACCATTCTCGGAGCCTCAATGAAAGGTTGATCGTGACGGGAAAAAATGGGGCGTAATTTAATTATCGCAATGTATTCACAGAGTTGCGTTATTAGATTAAAATCAACTCGTGACATGCCAAGTCAATTAATTTTAAACTTGACAGTTTTTGTTTTTATATTATCTGCATCCCCGTGGGTGTAACTTCAATACACTAATATTTAAGTGGTTATTTCCGCCAAGTCGCTGCCCTGATTACGCGTTGAGGGATTCTACTTGACTCATAAACTCTAGGGGGTCTATGCTTGACTTCAGTATTTCAACGTTGGAGTTGGAGTATAAGATGAAAATATTGCGTAACATAATGAAAACACATAATTGGGTTAGACTCTTGTACCGGTTCATTTACCTGGTGTTCAATTTGTTTTGATCAGGTATTTTTCAGATCACGTGTCTCACTTCCGGTAGATTGTCTTTCCTTTTCATTTTGTTTGTTTTCGCCACACTTCTCCGGGACCCCCACAGTTCCACCCAAACAGGGTGACTGTAACACATCATACACGTAGACACTGTGTACGACGCGCTTTTAAATAATAACACAGTAAAGTTTACAATTTCCTACCAATGTGGTTCACATGAAAGCGAACCCGCCAACCAGTATGATTATAATTCATCCACTTAAAGG